CTCTTTCTGCACTCCATCAAACACTCCCAGAACAGAGGCACCACCGGGTTAGATACAGAGTAAAGCTCTCTGCACACTGATGTTGTGCCTTTAAGAGTGATTTGTTCAGTGCTGTTTCTGTTGCGGAGAGATGTTGCCACATTGGAACTGCAATGTCTGATTCAGAAGCAGTTGCTAAATAACTTTGAGCTTTCAGTGTTTTTTTTAAAATTAGACAGAAGAACCATAAGTGGGTGGAGTTAGGCTCACATAGACACAGGGTTTTGGTTTTGGTTTCACTTGGGGTTTGGATTTGAATTTGACTGTTGAAGTTGATAGATACAGATCTCTCTGTTGCAGCAAAGAGTCTGAGTTCTCTTTCTGTTGTTAGATTGTTTCTATCGGTGTTCCTTTTTCACGGACAGGAAGGGAGACAGAACGTGAAGAAAATCTGTTCTGTTGACTTTGCCTTTGCCAAAGGTGTGTTTATGGGATGCTGCTAAATTAGAAGAGTCATCAATTAAAATAAAGTTTATTTTGGCTAAGCCCAGTAGTGCACCAATTGAATCATCTCTGGAACACAGTGCCAGTGCCATCAAACAAAATAAAAGATAAGGGTCTTGGTTATCTCCTCGATTTATTTTGCTGGGATTTGATCTGGTCCACAGCAAAACTGCCCCATCACACACTCCCAAGACAAGGACAGCACAGGGTTAGATACAGAGTAAAGCACCCTCTACACAGTCCCCATTAAACAATTCCAGGACGGGCACAGCCCAGGGATAGATACCCAGGAAAGCCTCCTCTACTCTTTTAACGGAAAGTGAAGTTCCCTCTATATGGTCTCCAAACACTCCCAGGACAGGATGGGGTTAGATACAGGGTAAAACTCTCTCTTTTAACCTAAAAGTAAGGCTCCATCAACACTGCTTACATTAAACAGTCCCAGTTCAGGGACACTGCAGTTAATTAATGATTTCAAATTGCCATTTGAGAGAGGGATTTCATTCCAGAAAGTTGACTTTTTATGAACATACCAGAGTTTAGTTATGACTTGATGTGTGTAGAATTTTTTTTTTAAATAGGCCTGACTGTTGGCCTGGAGAGAGCTCTCTCACCTGGAGCTGGTCTCTGTGGTTTGAGGCTCTGGGCAGAGTAGAGCACAACACACTCCCTTATCTAGGTGGTCAAAGAATCATGGAGCTGTACAGCATGGAAACAGACCCTTTAGTCCAACTTGTCCATGCCAACCACATATCCTGAAATAATCTAGTTCCATTTGCCAGCACTTGGCCCATATCCTTCTAGACCCTTCCTATTCATATACACATCCAGATGCCTTTTAAATGTTGTAATGGAACCAGCTTCTACCACTTCCTGTGGTGTCTCATTCCACACATGCACCACCCTCTGCATGAAAAAGTTGCCCCTTAGGTCCCTTTGAAATCTTACCCCTGTCACCTTAAACCTATGCCCTCTAGTTTTGAACTCTGCTACCCTAGGGAAAAGACCTTGGTTATTCACCCCATCCATGACCCTCATGATTTTATAAGCCTCTGTAAGGTCACTACAAGCCTCTGACACTACAGGGAAAATAGCCCCAGCCTATTCAGCTTAAACTCTCCAACCCTGGCAACATCATTGTAAATCTTTTCTGAACCCTTTCAAATTTCACAGCATCCTTTCTACAGAAACCAGAATTGAACACATATTCCAAAAGTGGCCTAACCAATGTCCTGTACAGCCACAACACAACCTCCCAACTCCTATACTCAATGCACTGGCCAATAAAAGCAAGCATAGCAAACACTTTCTTCACTATCCTATCTAACTGCGACTTCACTTTCAAGGAACTATAAACCTACACTCCAAGGTTTCTTTGTTCAGCAACACTCCCCAGGACTTTACCAATGAGGATGTAAGTCCTGCCCTGGTTTGCCTTTCCAAAATGCAGCACCTCACATTTATCTAAATTAAACTCCATCTGCCGCATCTTGGCCCACTTGATCAAGGTCAAGTTGTACTCTGTATAACCTTCTTTGCTGTCCACTGTACCTCCAATTTTGTGTCATCTGCAAACTTACTAAGCATACCTCCTATGTTCACATCCAAATCATTAAACAAACCCTTCGGTCCAACTCGTGTATGCCAACCGGATATTCCAAATGCAATGAATTACATTTGCTTGGGTTTGATCCATATCCCTCTAAATCTTTCCTATCCAAGCACCTGTCCAAATATGTTTTAAATGTTGTAATCTTGCCCACTTCTATCACTTTATCTGACAGCTCATTCCATGCACGCACCACCCACTGTGTGCAAATGTTACCCCCACTCCCAGTCCTTTTTATATCTTTACCTCCTCACCTTCAACCTATTCCCTTCAGTTTTAGACTCCCCCGCCCTTGGAAAAAGACCTTGGATAAAGACCTTGGGTGTGCATTTTACGTATGCCACTCATGATGTTATAAACCCTATAATGTCACCTCTCAGTTTCCAAAATTCCACGGAAAAAAGCAGCAGTCTATTCAGCATCTTCTTTTAACTGAAACCTTCCAGTCCTGGCAACATCCTTGTAAATTTTGTCTGTACCTTTTCTAGTTTAGCAATGTCCTTCCTATAGCAGGGCGAACAGAATTGTATACAGTATTCTAAAAGCAGCCTCAACATGAGGTCCAACTCCTGTACTCAATTCTCTGACCAATGAAGACAAACATAAAATATTTAAACAGATTAAGTGGAGGTAATTGATTCTATGGCACTCTCAAAAGAGGAGCAGATCTGTTCTTCCTGCTATCCTGGCAAATATTTTCCTCTTACTGGCATTAGCACATTACTGTTTGGGGGAACCTCCTGTGCACAAATGAACTGCAGGATTTCCTATATTGGAATGGTGACCACACCTTAAAAGCACTAAACAGCCAATGAAGTAGTTTTTGAACGGCCTATGATTGTGAACAGTGAGGCCTTTTTAAAAGTCTGTATTTGGAATTAGAGATAGTGTCAAAAAAAAACAGACGGAAGAAAAGTAACAAAGAATTTATTTAAACAAATAAGAATCCTCTGAGTATACATTCCTGACAGCAAAGTGCAATGAATAGCCTCTGACTGCAATAGCAGCAGAGGGATTGGTTTCAAGGTTCACTGTTACACCTTGTTGGTAACAAGCTGGAAGGTGGCCAAGTGATTTGAGCTGCTGATTCCACGTTTTCTGTGGTCAAGTTCCATGTTTGTGTTGGATTGTCTGTGCTAAAAGAACAGAGTGCAACACTGTGCTTTAACTCTGTCCTCTCAATGCTTTCTACAGCACTGCCCAACAGGACATTGAGTAATTGGTACCACCAAGTGAACTGAAGGATCAGTGATGGAGCTAGGATCCTGAGAAGATCAGATTCAATCAGTTCAAGTATGAGAGCTGACAGGAATCATGTCCCGTGAGAGGGGGTGGGTTCTGACTGGGAACTGTGCCCCGGTGTTGAGTTCCCTTTTAGGAGATTCCTACACACTTGATACAAATGCAATACGCCAACTTCTGTGAATAGCCACAGTTTATTTAAGCAAGTACAAGCTTTGGAGGATCACTTAACAATCTTCGCAGGGCTTGCGGAGCCATGTCAAGCGATGCTCTCTGTAAGGGAACCGTCCTCCCTTTATATAGGTTTTTACAGCACAGTCAGACATGCATACAAGATACAATTTTTTTCTCCCCCATAATCACGTAACTTAGCCCAAAAACAATGTGTAAGATGAGGTAGTTCCTTATCCTTTTAGCATTTACAGAGAGCATGGTATAATTAGATTACCACCTTTTGTCTGCGAGATCTTTTTAGCCTTAGTTCAACATTTACAGAGAGCAGAGTATAATTCGATTACCCCATTTTGTCTGCGAGACAGGGGCGCCCATGAAGCACCTAATTTCTTATATGTCAGCAGAACAGATATTAACCCTTTAACATTTCACCGGGACAGGATTGCATGGGGTCTGGTTGGGAATGATGTCCTGAGATGGGATGGGGGGAGGGTCTGGCAGGGGATTCTGCACTAGGACAGTGGCAGGGGTGTGGGGTGTCCGTTCTGAGGAAGGGTCACTGGACCCGAAACATTAATTTTGATTTTATTTCTCCAAAGATGCTACCAGACCTGCTGAGCTTTTCCAGCAACTTCTGTTTGTGTATGTGTGTGTCTGTGTGTGTTTTGGGGTGGGGGGGTGGTGAGGAGGGGTGTCTGGTAGGAGATATTGCCCCTGGATGGTGGGGGGCTGCAGTCTGGTTGCAGACAGAGTGTGTCGTTCATGAAGAAGTTGCAGTCTGCCTGTCGCACTGGCACTGGGTTGTGGAAATGAGTTGACACTGTGTAACCTGCAGCTGGGATAGGAACTGTCCAATTGAAGAGATTTACACAAGGTACAATTAAACTTCCTGAAAAGTCTCCAATCACCTTCACTGAACAGCTGTTAGCCCCACCCCTCCCCGAAATACAAACATCAATCCATTATAAAATAATACAACACTTTCTAACTGTTTCTTCAAACATTGCGCTTCATACAATTAAACCCATTAACCATGCTGAGCTTCAGTTGCAGGAAAGGGTGGAGACAGGGGACAGGGATGGGCTGTTTGGTCATGAGGAAGTGAAGATGAATGAATGGAGTATATGCAGTGTAGGTGAGGGAGGACATGAGGTGACGTGGAAGGGGCAGGGTGGTGAGAAGTGGGAGGTTAGGGGTCTCAGTGAGCGGGTGGGAGGTGGGGAGCGTTCTTGTTGCGGGAGTGTGGAGTTTGGGGGGTGGATTGGGGGTGTGAGATTATGGGGCTTGGTGAGGGGCTGGGAGATGAGGGATGTGGAGAAGAGGATGGACAATGGGTCTGGGTGGGTGAGGGATAGAATGACAGTTCTGGGCAGGTGAGGGAGTGGGTGATGACGGGGTAGGTGAGGGGGTGGGTGATGACAGGGTGAACGATGATGAAGTTGCCTTGATGCTGTCAGGCTGACCTGGCCGTGGAACGCACTGCTGCCATGAGTTTAAATGACAGACCGGACATTCTGTGGTTTCAACGAATGCAGCGATTGTTCGGTCTCGTCCCACAGGCAGACGGTGGACAGTTGGTGTTTGAGGGTCTCCACCAGTGAGTTGCGTTTGATGCTCCTCTGCAGCTCCCTCCCAGAGTCCTGATGCACTTCCCGGGATTTCCTGTGGGGTTGACGCCCTAGTCTCCGTGCAGTCCCTGCCAGGGTGGGATTGAGCAGTAGCCTCTTGCTCGGCACTAGATTGCTGGTCTGGTGGATTCCTGCTGTCCTCCCACTCACTCCTTTCAGCACGGACAGTCTGCCTGGTCTCACAGGCAGTTTTAACACTCTCTCACACCTTGCTGTAGTTGGGCTGCCTCTCAGTAATGCGAGCTGTGTCTCAAGGGAGTGTGAGAGATTGGAGAGCCCCTGCTCAGTATTTCTCCCATCTCTGTCAAGAAACCAGATTTCTGTGACTATTCAGCACCAGACTTCCACAAGTGAAAGATGAAAGTGTTTGTGGAGCTGGGCTTCACTTTGCAAGGTGGTGCTTACAAGACAAGCAGAGATATCCAGGGAGCCTAGTATAGCAATCACTAAAAACTGGTGGAAACGCAGAGAAACTGATGCAAAATGGTTCCTGGAATGCTTGCCTTTATCTTGACAGCTCAAGCTATTCTCTTGACATTAGAACTTTCCCAGGAAGGTAGCAGGAAATTCCTTTTCCCTCGCTAGAAATGTCTTCCATGGAGAGCTGTTAACCTGTCACTCGGTTGGAAATTTCCAAACTGAGATTGACAAGGGTTTTCCCCTCAGGGAAGGGCTCAGGATGCAAGGAAAGTGGAATGAGTTAAGGTATGGCTCAGCAAGGATATAACTGAATGGCGGAACAGACTGGAGGGGCTGAATGGCCTCCTCCTACCAGACATCTGGTTTAAGGTGTGAAGGCCTTTGCCAATTGAGGGGCTCAAAGGTGTCTCTGTCAGGAACTGTACCCACCTCCAGATTGCTGATGTGCATGGTTTCATTCTTGACCCTCTTCTGTGACTCACAAGCACCAAGTGGATGAAAGTACTTACCCTTTCTGCTCCAGCCCAGTGTCCATGCTGACCAGTGAGGCTGTTGACATGGTGAAGGTGCCCACAGGCATTTGGCATTGCCCTCTGCCGTCCTGGATCCTTGGTTGGCTGCCAACACACTGTCCACCTTCGAGTGACTCATTGGCGTCAGAAGATGTGGCCAGATTTGTTCTGTTTGCAGAGGACAACCAAGTTTATTCAAAGATAAAAGTGGACCCGGGAGGAGAAAGTCTTGGGACAGACATCCTGGCATGGGCCTAGTGAAGCAGACCTGACCAAACTCATCCTCTGGCTATGAATGATGCCCAGCTGTGTATAAGCGTTGTCTCTTGGACTGTTTCAGAAGCTAACACTTCCTCTGTTCTAAACAGGCTCCTCCTCAAATGCATCACTGCACAGATCTGCATGAGGGAAGAAACACACCTGGCTCAATGACTATAACCACCATTCCCAGTTTCAGGAATAGCTAGGTGGGTTGAGAACCACCTCACAGAGATGTCCTCAAGCCTGGCAGAGGAAGGGTGCTGAAATGAACCTGCATGGGTGGAAGATTGCTCAAACTTAAATGACTACCTATGTTTGTAAAACACTTTGCAGTGCTTCTGAAGTGAACAGTCATAACAACGGAAGGGGCTTCAGGAAAGAATCCCCCCAAACCTGCACTATAGCCTGGAATGTGCAGGGGGAAATGCCATGTAATGGGGAGCACTGTTTTTATTTGTTGTGTTCACTTACCTCGAGGCTCCCTCTGTTATCACACTCATCGTCTGTGGCTCAGTGCTGTCTGCTGGCCAGGACTGCTCCTCAGATCGGCGGTAATCTGTAACTAGAACAAACATTTTGCAAGTGAGATTCAAAAGATAAAACATAAAATCAGATTACTGATCCATAGCTGAGAAAAAATAAACCCTTTTTAAAAACATACAATTATTCTTATGTACACACCTCACCATTCTAAACATGCAAACAAGGAACAAGAGTTCTCTGGCCCAAAGTCTGCTCTACCATTCAATAAGATCATGGCTGATCTGATTTTAACTTCAATTCTGCATTCCTGCATACCTCCAATAATCATACACGCTCCTGGCAATCAATAATCTAACAACTTCTGCCTAGAAAATATTTAAAGATTCTGCAACCACTGCATTTTGAGGAAGGGAATTCCAAAGACTCACAACGCTCTGAGAGAAATAAAAGTTTCCTGATCTCCGTTTTAAATGGACACCTCCTTATTTTCAAACAATGGCCTCTAGTTCTAGATTGTCCCACAAGAGGAAACATCTTTTTCACATCCACCTGGTCAAGTCCCATCAGGATCTTGTATGTTTCAATTAAGTCACTTCTGATGCACAGTGGTTAGCATAGCTGCCTCACAGCACCAGGGACCCAGGTTTGATTCCAGCCTCAGGTGGCTGTTTGCATGGAGTTTGCATGTTCTCCCCATGTCTGCAATGGGTTTCCTCCGGGTGCTACAGTTTGCTCCCACTGTCCAAAGATGTGCAGGTTAGGTGGATTGGCCATGGGAAATGCGAGGTTACAAGGATAGGGTGGGAGGGGCAGGTCTGGGCAGGATGGTCTTCCAAGGGGGCTGTGGGCTTGATGGGCCAAATGGCCTGCTTCCACACTGTGGGGATTCTATGATTCTTCTAAACTCTCGAGGACACAAGCAAGTATATTCAACCTTCCCTCAAAAGACAATCAACACATTCCAAATATTAGTCCAGTAAGCCTTCTCTGAATTGTTTCCATTGCATTAACATCCTTCTGTATTTATGGTTCCCAGTCTTGTACACAATACATAGAACTGTACAGCTCAGGAACGGGCCCTTTGGCCCACAATGCTGTGCGAAACATGATGCCAAATTAAACTAATCTCTTCTGCCTGTCATTGGTCCATATCTCTCCATTCCTTGAATATTCATGCACTGATCTAAAAGTCCCCAAATGCCCTTATCGTATCTGCTTTCACCACCATCCCTGGCAGTGCGTTCCAGACTCCCACCACTTTCTGTGTAAAAAAAAACTTGCTCCTCATGTTTCCTTTGAACTTTCCCCCTCTCATCTCAAATGCATGCCCCCTAGTATTAGACATTTCAACTCTGGGAAAAAGATTCTGACCATCAACACTATCTACACTTCTCATAATTTTATAGACTTCAATCAAGTCTCCCCTCAGCCTCTGCTGCTCCAGAGAAAACAACCCGAGGTTTTCTAGCCTCTCCCTTTAGCTCATGCCCTCTAATCCAGGCAGCATCCTGGTAAACCTCTTCTGCATGCTCTTCAAAGCCTCCACATCCTTCCTGTAATGTGGTGACCAGAACTGAATGCAATGCTCTAAGTGTGGCCTAACCAAACTCTTATAAATGCAGCATGACATCCTGACTCTTGTACTCAATTCCCTGACCAATAAAGGCAAGCATGTTATACACCTTCTTTACCGCCTTATCTACTTGTGTGGCCACTTTCAGGGAGGTATGGACTTGAACCCCAAGATCCTTCTATACATCAATGCTGTTCAGGGTCCTGCCATTAACTGTATGCTATTTCTTAACATTTGATCTCCCAAAATGCAGCACCTCACACTTACCTGGATTAAACTCTACCTGCCATTTCTCTGCCCATATTTGCAACTGATCTATATCCCGCTGTATCGTTTGGCAACCATCTACACTAGCCACCACTCCACCGATCTTTATATTGTGTGTAATATTACTAATCCACCCATCTGGGGAGGCAATGGCCTAGTGGTATTATTGCTGGACTACTAATCCAGAGATCCAGATGATGCACTAGGGAAATGGATTCAAATCCCTCCAGGGCAGATGGTGGAATTTGAATTCATTAAGTATCTGGAATTAAAGATTTCAATGATGTCTAATTATTAATTTTCAGAAAAACATATCTGATTCACTAATGCTCTTTAGGGAAGTAAACTGCCACCCTTACCTGGTCTGGCCTACATGTGACTCCAGACCCACAGCAATGTGGTTGACTCTAATTCCCCTCGGGATAATTAGGGATGGGAAATAAATGCTGGCCAAGTCAGCAACACTCTCATCCCATGAATGAATAAAGAAAATCTACATTTTCATCCAAGTCATTTACATACATCATAAACAGTAGAGTACGGATCCCTGTGGAACACCACTAGTCATGGACCTTCAGCCTGAAAAATACCCTTCCACCACTACCCTCTGTCTTCTATGGACAAGCCAATGCTGAATCCATGCAGCCAAGTCAGAGTGGATCCCATGCATCTTAATCTTCTGGATGAGCCTACCGTGAGGGACCTTGTCAAAAGCCTTACTAAAATCAATGTAAATGACATGATCTGCCCTACCCTCATCCATCACCTTTGCCATCACCTCGAAAATTTCAGTCAAGTTAGTAAGACATGATCTGCCCCACACAAAGCCATGCTGACTGGCGCTAATTAGGCCATGCTTCTCCAAATGTGCATAAATCCTATCCCTAAGAATTCTCTCCAATAGCTTCCCAACCACTGATGTGAGACTCACTGGTCTATAGTTTCCTGGATTATCCCTATTTCTCTTCTTGAATTTAGGAAAAAAATTAGCTACTCACCAGTCCTCCAGGATCTCTCTGTTGGCTAGCGAGGATACAAAGATCTTGGTCAAAGCCCCAGCAATCTCCTCTCTTGCCTCTCTCAATAACCTGGGGTAGATACCATCAGGCCCGGGGATTTATCCACCTTAATGCTCTTCAAGAAATCCACCACCACATCTTTCTTGATTTCAAAATGCCCTAGCATATAAGTATGCTCCACACAAATCTCCATAACCTCCATATCCTTTTCCTGGGTGAATACCAAAGCAAAGTACTCATTTAGGATCTCACCACATTCTCTGCCTCCAAGCACAATTTCCCTCTGTTATCCTCAAGTGGTCCTGCCTTTTCCCTAGTTATTCTCTTGTTTTTAATGTATCTATAGAATGCCTTGAGATTCACTTTAACCCTATTTGCCAAGGTCATTTCATTGGCCCCTTCTTGCTTTCCTAATTCCCTGCTTCAGTACTTTCCTGCTTTACTTATATTCCTCATGTGCCCTATTCAAATTTAGCTTCCTAAACTTAAATATGCTTCTTTTTCCCTTTTGACTAAATTCACAACCTCCAACATTATCCAAGGGTCCCTTATCTTGCCATCCTTGTCCTTCCTCCTTACTGGAACATGCTGGTCGTAAACTCTCTCCAGCAGGTCTTTAAACAGTTCCCACATGTCAAATGTGAACTTACCTGATAACAACTCCACCCAATTAACACTCCCTAGCTAATGTAACTTTCCCTTCCCCCAGGTCCTGACTTATCCTTGTTCATAGCTATCTTAAAACTTAAGGAGTTGTGATCACTGTTTCCAAAATGCTTTCCCACTGAAAGGTCAGTCACCTGGCCAGGCTCATTAGCCAATACAAGGTCCAGCATGGCCCCTCCTCTTGTTGGACTATCCAAATACTGTTTCAAGAAATCCTCTTGGATGTACTTAACAAATTCTGCCCCATCTAAGTCTCTTGCTCTAAGGGAGTCCCAGTTAATATTGGGGAAGGTAAAGTCACCCAGTATAACAACTCTTTTTATTGCACCTTTCCATTATACTCCAGATGCATTCTCACGAATGCTCTGTATAACTGAAGCATAACTTCCCCACTCTTGTATTCAATTCCCCTTGCAATAAACCATAATATCCTATTCACCTTCCAAATTATTTGCTGTACCTGAATACTAATCTTCACGCACTAGGACACCCAGATCTCTCTGCATCTCCGAGCTCTCTAACCTTTGACCATTTAGACAAATGCTTCTGCTTTGTTATTTCTGTCAAAGTGGACAATTTCACATTTTCCCATAAAAACAGAAACTGCAAGTGAAACTCAGTGGGTCTGGCAGCACCAGAGGGGAGAATACAGAGTCAATGTTTCAAGTCCAGTGACTCTTCTCTCAAACTAATAGCAGCTAGGAAAATGGGGCATTTGGGTGAGTGGGTGGAGAGGTGAGCAGGTGGATAGGTGGAGACGGAGTTCAGAGAGAGGAGAGAGAGAGAGAGATGAAAGGAGTTGGTAAACAAGGAGATTATGCAGAACAGGCCAGGACAGAGGAGAAGCTGAATAAGAGATAATAAGAGTTGAGAAAAGGAGAGCTCTATGGAAAGTAATCCATATAATGTGATTATTTGTCTAGGAGTAAGTGAGAATGGCTGACTGTGCTAAAAGGAATCCATGTCATAATAGGATTGGGTGTGGGGTGGGTAAAAATAACAGAAGGATGGAATCAAACTCTAAAATTATGGAACTGGATATTGATTCTTGAAGGCTGCAGGGTCCCCAAGCAGAAAATGAGGAGCTGTTCTTCCAGGTTGAGCTGAGCCTTGCTGGAGCACTGCAGCAAGCCTGAGACAGAAATGTTGGCCAGGGAATACAGTGATGGAGTATAACATCTTTAAAAGTAACTTCTAACATTTTCACTATGACAGCTGTTAAGCTAATTGCCCTGTAGTTTCCTTTGTGAAAAAATCAGTTATATTCTCTATTTTCCAATCTAAAGGAACCTTCTCCATATCTAATTAGCTTTGGAAATCTAAAACCAAGGTATCAACTATCTCAGTAACTAGTGATTTTAAGACCATGGGATAAAATCCATCAGGACCCAGAGGAAGTGTCCGGTGAGCAGAATGGGAACTCCTGGCAGCAGTAGGACCGGAGCCTGGACTCTTGGCCATGTAGGTAAGGCAAGGTGACAGCAGAGCTGGGGTCTCTTGAGGCATCAGCATCCCAGAGCAGGGCTCCTTGAGGACCAGACCACCTTACAGAGACATTTCAGAAGTTCTGAAGCTGTGCTTGAAATTCCAATTTGGACAGAGGATGAATTCTTATTTGAGTAATTTCTTTTTATCCCTATTGTACCTCGATTGTGGCAATAAAACACGTTTCGCTATATCTTCAAGATATATGTGACAATAAATAAATCATACATCATTCATTCATAGTTGATCACTGTAATTTTCTTGAGTTCCTCCCTCCTGATTTACATCTGGGATGCTAATTGTATCCTCTCTAATGAAGACCAGTACAAAATATCTATTCAATTTTTCTGCCAATTCTTTATTCTCCAGATTCCCCAGACTTGTTTTCTATAGGGCCAACACTTACTTTGTTAGCGCTTCTGTTTTAAATATCTGAAGAAACCTTTTGGTCTGTTTTTATATTTTTGGCTAACTTTCTCTCATACTCTTTTTATTCTTCTCCTTTTAATAATTCTTTCCTTTTTAAAAATATTTTGTCCAATCTTCAGAACTACCACCTATCTTTGCACAATTTTATGTCTTTTCTTTGAGTTTGATACAATCTTTGATTTTTTTGGTTAACTATGGATGGTAGTTCGGTCCCTGGGAATTTTTCTTTCTTGCTGGAATGTATCTTTATTTTGCACTCTCTGGTATATCTCGTTAAATGTATGCCCTGCATCTGTACTGATCTATCCCTTAACCTTAATTGCCGGTTTACTTTTGTGAGCTCTGATTTCATGCAGTCACAATTGTCCTTATTTAAATTTATAATATTAGTCTTGGAGCCACACTTCTCTCCTTTAAACTGTATGCAAAATTCAATTATGGTAGCTGCTATCCAGGGCACTTCCACAATGACATCAGTAATTAATCGTATCTTGTTGGTCAAGACCAGGTCTAGTATAATCTGGCTGATGTTCTGCACTTTCAATTCTCGTACCGACTGAGTCCCATTGCTCCTGAAGCTGGGCCCTCTCTGCTTCGGTCAGTCAGTCACAATACCTGATTCTGCAGGCCACTCTGACTTGGATTTGATGTCAGGCATCTGTAACATTGTAGAGCTACCAGCTGGTGCACTTGGAAGTACCCGTAGTTTCAGATTGTGTGTATCCCCCAGATGAGGGGCTGCAGATCGACAAGTCGGCCGGCTGATAGTTCTCAGAGATCTTGATTTCAAGGTCAACCAGGTACTTTGAGGTCTGCACAGGAACAGAGTCAGGGCTAAGGAGCATTACACACTCAAAGGAGCTTTATAGCCAGAGGGCCCCTAACACACATGCATCCCAACAGGGGGCCTGTGTCCCCACCCCTCAGCAAGCTTCCCCCACACCCATTCCTAATCCCCAACTACACTGAGCCCCTTCTCCCACAGCGAGCCCCTACACCCACCCCCGCACCCACCAACTCACCCCAGGACACAGTCTGGACGGTGTATTCCCCACCTCCACCTCAGGCCAGTGTCTTCTCTCGGGGAAAGTCCCCCCTCCCCTCACCCCTTCACTCATTGTAAGCTCAGTGTATATAGACTGTGCAAACATTTCTGTTACTCAAACTGCAGCGGAACTTGTATGTGTCTCTGACATGGCTGCAGTGTGTCCAACTCTCTATTGTAAAACCCTGTCTGTAAACAATATACAAAAGCTTCTGGAGGTTTCATACCTGATGGCCATGTCACTTGTTTTTCACCTTCTCAGTCACTGTGAACATCTTGGGACAGAAACAGTTCTCTATTCATCCAGAGACCGGTTTAAATTCAAACCTTTATTATCTCCTCCAACTAGACTGCCTCTGCTGGTACACTCCTGTACGGTAGCCTCAAGGGTTCAGAATGCACCATGCAATTTACAAAACACTACAGATTGCACAAGACGCCAGCATTGGAGCAGCACAGAGATACCAGAGAGTTTTAAGGCTAGCGGAGGTTACCGAGCTGTAAGGACACGGAGGTAATTGATAACGAGGATGAGAATGTACACACGCACAGACATTATCTATGTACAGATACCTACCGTTGGGAACTTGTTGCAGATGTGTGGGAAGAACAGGTCAAGGACAAACCACCTGGGGAACGAGAAAAGGTTAAGCATTGTTGGCATTTCTGTGCATCATGATGGAAGAGAATTATGAATATTTACTTGGTTCCCTTTTGGGGATTGGTGAACATTCATCTCGATTTGTTTCTCTCTGGATATATAGTTGTAGACAGCCCCAGCCTATGGAAGGAGAACGAATGGATGGGTGGTGTTGTGTACCACACTGAGTACAACTAATACTTGCTCAGCCACCAGCTGCTATTCTTGAACAACTTTCATTTACATCTCGTCAGCAAAGAGAGACTTTACACTACAGCCCTCCCCACTTAAAGAAAAATATACACATTAAAATGTAAAAAAGTATGTTATTTCCTAGTATGTGATAGGACTAAGCCAACATTAACCGTGCCTTAAGTTCAACAAGTTGGGATGTGAACTAGTTGTTACTATAATCACAACTAAAGCATATATGACTGATATTGTCAGTGTAATTTAAACGTAAATAAAAAAGGAAGTAATGTTTTTCTTCTTCTCTGCTACATACTCTCAATTAACTTATTTGGTTTCTATCTGAGTATTGCCTGCTATTCCCAAGATCTTGACTCTGTTCCCTCAATGTCTTTGAAAGAATAGAATCTGAGCATTGACTTTGACTACCAAATCTGCATAACAATTGGGATTGTGACATTGATTTTATTTTAATCAAAGACTCTGACTTGTTTCACTCTCCTGGTAGATTCTGTAATACCAGAAAGCTTTCAATTTCTTTCTGAGTTTCACTTTCTTTCTGAATTTCCCATTAGGTTATGGGAGGGATTTGGATGGTCAGGAGCTTCTCTGTTCCCCCTTTGTCAGATTTCCACTTTCAGCAAGTAATCGAGATTACATTGACACAGTCTCTCTCTGGTCTTCACTAAGTGTGTGACTGTAACTGGTCTTTTCACAACAACTTCAATCACCACCTTCAACTCATCCCCTCCTCTTTCTCATCATGACCTTCTGACCAGCACCAAACTCTCTCCATTTCATGCCACCCATTTCAGTTCTGAGGAAGAGCCACTGGAAACGAAACATTTACTCTGATTTCTCTTCAGAGATGCGGCCAGACCTGCTGAGCTTTCCCAGAAATTTCTGCTTTTGTTTCAAGACTCAACTTCCCTTGTGTCTTACTTTGCTACAGAGATCCAGCTTAAACAAACAAAACTTTGTCTGAGGAATATGTTTAAACACAAATTCATAAGGTGAGCACCTGAGAGTTTATTCTGTGGCAGAACACAGCATTGTCTAGCCTGTGTCAAAGAGAACTATGAAATTACTGATGAGCTTGTCACCTAGAATATAATTTAGCAAATATCAAAGTAACAGGATGCATCATCATATTGCTACCGAAACTAACGCACTTAACACTGGAATACTGTTCCCCATTCTGAGAAAGGGTCACTGGACCTGAAACATTAATTCTGATTTCTCTCCATAAACGCTGCCAGACCAGTTGAGCTTTCCCAGCAATTTCTCTTTTTATTTCTGATATCCAGCATCCACAGTTCTTTTGGTTTTTACCAGAATACTGATACTGGATTCATTCACTAGGTTCACTCTCATTTTGTAGAAGGGAATGAGAGTTCAAGGTTTCTACAATAACAGCCACTAATGCAGCTTTTCAATGAACAGGCTATATTGCGAATCTCTGACTTTTATTTTGACAGTGCGCACTCAAATATCATCTTCTGTCCAATTACCCTCATCTCCCATGGGCTGCTTCTCTTGTTCTCTGACAGAGCACAACTCTAGAGTGTTCTGCTTGTTAACATCCCTCTCCACATCCAAAAAACATGCATTCTGGGCTGTGATTCACTTCTAGCCAAATAAGTAACGTCTGTAACTTTTGTAATTCTACCAGTCAGTCCCTCTCTGTGAACTCTCCCATTGACTGACTATTCCACCTGAATACAATGTCCACACTTCCACAAAATCAACCTCTGGAGTTCCAAAAATTCATTTCACAATCTTCTTCAGCCTTAATTTCTCAAATGAAATGTGAAACACCCAGCTCATTAACATCTGTCAGTTGTGTTTTGCCCTGGGTGAGACCTTGGCTACTGGAGCCATGATTGGACCAACTCTGTGAACACCTTTCCAGCACAGAAGACAGTAGACAGCACGCGATGAGCAGGCTCCATGCCCAGTTAATCAAATGCCTTGACCATGTCCATCTCACCTGTTCAACATTACAATTTTCTTGGCATTACCTGTTACACAAAGCACCTCCTCACCTAGCTTCCAGTTGTAGGGGCTCAGGCTCTGGGCCAACGTATTTCTGCATTCCAGCTTGTCATTGAGAAGTGCTCGATGCTGTGTGATGGGGGTAGTGGGTTCCTGAGGTCGCTGTTGGTCCACAATGTTCATTGGGAGGACGTGGCGTGTGAATGAAGCTTGCTGCTGAGGGCTCCTGGTGGTCAATCGACAGTTACTGCAGTCAGTGTCCCACGTGAACTGGTCTGAGATAAAGAGAGACGGAGACACAGAGGGAGAGTTTACCCTGCAGCCTGGTGGAGAATTGACTGTGTATATACATTTGTCACATAAGATGTAAGAGCAGAAGTAAGCCATTCGACCCATCCAGTCTGCTCCACCATTCAATGAGATCACAGGCTGACCTGATAATCCTCAACTCCACTTTACTGCCTTTTTGCCATACCCTTGATTCCCTTACTGTTTAAAAATCTGTCTATCCCCGCCTTGAATATACTTAATACCCACCCTCAGCATCCCTCTGTGTTAAATAATTCCACAGATTCACAACCTTCAGAGAATGAACTTTCTCCTCTTCTCTGTCCTAAATATATAACCCATTATTCTGAGATTATTCCGTGTAGTCCTTGAATCTCCCACAACGGAAAGCAACCACATCTACCCTGTCAAATCCCCTAAAAATCTTGTATATTTCAATGAGGTTGCTTCTTATTCTTCTAAATTCCAATGAGTACAGGCCCGATCTACTCAACCTCTCCTCATAAGACACTCTCTCCAAATACCCCAGATAATCTTCTCTAGACTGCCTCCAATGCCAGTATATCTTTCCTTAGATTAGGGACCCAAAATTGTTCATAGTATTCTAGCTGTGGTCTGACTAGTGCCTTGAATAGTTTTGGCAAAACCTCCCCACATGTATATGCCACTCCCTTTGAAATAAAGGCCAACATTCCATTTGCTTTCCCCATTACCCACTGAATTTAGATACTAGATTTTTGTTATTTGTGCATGAGGACTCCCAAATTTCTCTGTTCTGTCACTTTCTGCAGTAATTCTTCATTTAAATAACATTCAGCTCATCTACTCTTCCTGCCGAACTGTATAACCTCACATTTCCCTACATGATATTTTTTAAGTTTTTCTTTCTTGACTAAACCTGTCTATATCCCTCGGCAGATTCTGTGTCCCCACTACTTGCCCAGCTATTTTTGTGCCATCTGCAAACTTGGCTATACTACATTCACATTCTTCATCCAAGTCACTCATATATCTTTATATATAGTAAATCATTCTGGCCCCAGCACTGAGGTGGGGGAGGCATGTGGCACCCCACTAGTTACAGAATACCATCCTGAAAATGCCCCCTTTATCCCAACTCTTTGGCTTCTATTGGTTAGCCCATCCTCTATCTATGTAAATATGGGTCAAACAGCTGAGTTGATTGAACTGCTGGTTTGTAGATTAATGCTAACAGCATAGACTCCAGACTCAATTCCCACACTGGCTAAGGTCACCCTGAAGGGCTCTCCTCTTCAACCTCTCCCCTTGCCTGAGGCCTGGTGACCCTCAAACTAAACCATCAACAGTCATCTCTGAGAGAGTAGTCCTCTGGGACTATAATGATGTTACCCCTAACACCATGAACTCTAACATTATTAAACAGTCTGACATGTGGTATCTTATCAAACACCTTCTGAAAGTCCCACCTGCCTAGGAAGTCATAAAATCTTAGAGATCGACAACGCAGGAAAAGGCCCTTTGACACATCACATCCATGCTAGTCAAAAACAACCACCTAACTGTTCAAATCCTATTTTCCAGCACATGACCTATAACTTTATATGTCTTGGCTTCACAAGTGCACTTTTAAATATTTCTTAAATGGTATGAGGACTTGTGTCTACCACCCTGACAGGCAGTCAGTTCCTAATTTCCACCACTCTCTGAGTGAAAAAGTCTTTCCTCACATCTCCTTTAAAACCTCAGAGATAGTAGGAACTGCCAATGCTGGAGAATCTGAGATAACAAGGTGTAGAGCTGGATGAACGCAGCAGGCAAGGTGTAGAGCTGGATGAACACAGCAGGCCAGGCAGCATCAGAGGAGCAGGAAGGCTGACGTTTCGGGTCTGGACCCTTCTTCAGATCCGAAACGTCAGCCTCCCTGCTCCTCTGATACTGCCTGGCCTGCTGTGTTCATCCAGCTCTACACCTTGTTATCTCCTTTAAAACATCTACCCCTTACCTTAAATCTATGCATTTAGGCCACTGATCCCTTCATCACTGAGAAAAGTTACTTCCTGTCTACCCTATCTCTGCCCCTCATAATTTTATACATCTCAATCATGTCCCCTCTCAGTCTCCTCTGCTCTTAGGAAAACAACCTCAGTTTGTCCAATCTCTCTTTATACCTGAAGCTCTCCAAACCAGGCAACATCCCAGGAAATCTCCATTACACCCTCCTGTCATAGCATATCAGGCAAGTTGGTGAAAAATAACATTTTCCACCAAGACGCTGTGCCTGGAACCTGCTGATTTCTGCAAATAGGAGGGGATTTGATTGAAAGATGCTCAATATGAAAGCTTGACTCTTGGGGCAGCACAGTGGCTCAGTGGTTAGCACTGCTGCTTCACAGCACCAGGGGCCTGGGTTCAATTTCACCCTCGAGCAACTGTCTGTGTGGAGTTTGCACATTCTCCCCGTGTCTGCGTGGGTTTCCTCTGGGTGCTACAGCTTCCTCCCACAGTCCAAAGATATGCAGGTTAGGTGGATTGGCCATGGAAATGCAGGGTTACAGGGATAGGGTATGTGGGTGCATCTGAGTGGGATGCTTCTCAGAGGATCGGTGTGGACTCAACAGGGCTGAATGGCCTGCTTCCACACTGTAGGGATTCTATGATTCTAAGTGTCTCAGGAGTGAGATACACATCACAATATGGCATCTAGCTCATTCCACACTGTTTATAGAGAAGCAGTCTCGAAATATTGCTGCCTTCCTTCTGCGCAGCAAGGGAAGGAGGTAACTGTGACTCAAGAAGAGCTCCCTTTGCAACAAGTCTGAGGCACCAATCACTCAAAGTAATGTGAAATAATGCTGATTCTGCAGACATGAAACCATAAGGCTGGAAGCAGTGTGGTCAGGCAGCATCTGTGTACAAACAGGTTACTAAGTGAATGTTTCACCTCTAGGATCCTTCCTCTGCAGTTGCAGCCTGCAGAGACCTGAAATGACACTGGAATGATCCCTAATTCTTCTCCACAAATCTCACTTGATGGAGATTCATTGGATTTTCACTGCTGGAATTGAAGTGTTCAACTTGGCATTCAATCAGTGATCCAGGGAACTCCCTGATAAGTGAGATTTTGCTTCTAAGATGTTGAACTTTTAGAACTATTATGGTGCATCTTTTTTGTTTATTTGACCACATGTTAGGTCATTGTGTACACTAAAGAAGACAAGGAAGGATAAAAGGTGAAAAGAATTGTTTTAAAAACCAAGGGTTGTTTTTGGATGGCTGAATTTTTTTAAAGCAAGTTACCCAATATTCAACTAACCCAAACTGAACTGCCTACCCACTCTACCCTCCACCCAAAACATCCACATCTTATGTCCAGTCTACATGTGTGTGTAATTCAGTGAGGTTGTCCTCTTTCCTGCAGGAAAGCGTGACCCATAAACCGTACCGTATTTCTGTCCTGGAGTGGAGTTTGGTCCCCAGCGATAGTTCATTGCCTTGAACAATGCAGCCTGCAAATGGAGACAAAGAGGAATCAAAGGAGGGCCCAGCTACAATGTTCAGCAGCAGGGAAAGCAGTTACATTGATCTAGCATCTATTGCAATCTCCGGATATTGAGGAGTACTCAGTGCTTGACATCTTATTGTCCTCACTCCTGTAAAGTGCAAACTTCACACAAAGTTAACTCCTATGAATATGTATCCAAATAATTGACATTTTGTGGTGTTGCTTGTGTTTTAAATGTTAGTGAGGGGTCAGTCTGGAAAGGACAGGAACACTGCATAATTTTCATTTTCCCCTTTAAAGACACAGCTGCTGGCCAGACCATTGGAGAATTCAAAGTGTTACACACTTGCTCAAAGAAAGAGATTTAAAGATAAACCCAACAAAGACAAGTCAGTTAATTCATCTGCATGGTTATGAAAGCTCCCAGACTAGTACAGAAACCATAGTGGCTGTGTTTGTAATAGATGTAGATGCCAGAGTCTGGAGTAAACATCGATTGAGAGGGCAGGGCAGCGAGATCAGGAGAATTGGAAGTAAACTGGAACAGTCACCTTATCCTTATTGTTGACAGCACAGACGACAGACAGCGTACTGATGGGCTGGGGAATCCAGGGCTGTGCCGGTGGAATCTGCTCACGGAATTGAGGCTGTAGCTGGAGACAGCAACAACAGGAAAAGAAGGATCAGCAAGTCAGCAAAACTGTCCCAGAGAGAGAGAAGACACTTGTTATTCCCTCTCCCCTCACCTCAGTGAGGGCACCACTACTCACTATTCCCTTGCCTCAGTGAGGTCCATCCTCCACACTGAGCTCCCAATGCCAGCACATGATCATTGTTTCAAGTGAGACGTTGTTACTCAGTCCTCACTCCGGTCTTCAATCTCACCTCTCCTCCTCTGAACTCGGCAATGCTGTGAGATTGGTCCCAGTATATTCTGTCCCCCCATTAGCCAGGAGACACTGTTTCCCCACCCCCATGAGTTGGCTAAAAGGGCACCGTGCCCCCAGTCCCCTGCGTCCCTCCTTTGACAGGCTGATTCTCAACAGCTGCCCGTCTCAACCCTCCTCCTCCTGCCAACCAGCCAAGACCAGACTCTGGGGCAGCTTTGCCTCCCAAACTCTACCCCTCATTCCCGTGTCAGTTCCTACTCTCCTCCCTTCTCCCCCTCATCCCACATCTCAGGAAGCTTGCCCTCCCTCCCTGCTTCCTGTCTTCCCTCCATCACCTCCTGCCATTCCCTCCATTCCACCTCCCTCTATATCCCTCCTTTCATCTTGCTATCCATCCGCGTGACCTTCCTCCCTCCTTCCCTCACTCCTCTCTGTCCTCCTTCTCTTCAGCCCTTTCTCTCTCCTGTCCTTGCCTTTCCCTCCCCCTCTCCTGCCCTCCTCACTCCTTCCTGCCCTTCTCCCTCATGGTCTCCTTCCTTCAGTCATGACCCCCATCAGCCCCTCCCCCAACCAGCCCCTGAGGCCCTGACTCCTCACACTCTGCTATGTCTCTGTTGTTTATCCAAGGAACCCATTACCTTCACCCCGTTACGTCACCTACACACTCCAGCCCCCACACGCACCCTCCCCGCAAGACCCCAGGTGTCTGCCTCAGCTCCCCTGAGGTTGACTGATTACTGAGCGCCCTCCACGTTGCCTTCATCGTTCTGTGACAAATAGCCGCTGAACTCATATTAAGCCTAGAGCTGGCTGAGGACACAGCGTTGTCTCTCTCTCTTCAGCCCGTACACTGTCTGCCCCACCGCACACTGCTTCACCCAAACCCCTCAACCCCATCCACTGACCCACATTGACCAGGCTGGCAGGGTCAGGGAGAACCACCACAAGTGGCCAGGGGCACACCCATGATCAGGGCACACAACCTCCAGACATTAGCTCTTTCTGCAGCCACTAGTTAACTCCTACCTTCAACACCACCTTCTGTGGCTGCTCAATCCGACTGGAACCTCCCTGCACTTTACTCTGCTTGGAGCTAGCCTCACCTGGAGCCTGTGCAGGAGAGAGAGAGTGACAGTGAAAGCAAAAAGTGAGACCGAGGAAGAGAGGTAGAGAGAGAGAAAGAGAGAGGGAGTGAGACAGTGTGAGAGAATGTGAGAGCGGGAGTGAGACAGAAATAGAGAGAGAGACAGAGAGGGAAAGAGAGAGAAGGAGAAAAAGATAAAACAAATTGAGAAAGAGAGAGATCCAGAGACCAAGAGAGAGAGAGACAGTAAGGTAGTCAAAAAGAGAAAGGAAGTGAGAATTTGGGGGTGAAAGACAGGGGAGGAGAGAAAGAGAGGAGAGATTGGGGACAAAGGAGAGGGACTGCAAGGGAGGGCAGAATGGGACAGAGAGAGAGTGATGGGGGGCAAGAGGGAGGGAGAGGCAGGAGGGGAGAGAGGGAGGGCAGAGAGAGGTGGGGAATGCAAGGGATGCGGAGAGGGCGGGAGTGAGGGAGATGGGAGAGGCAGAGGAGGAGGGTGGGGAAAGAGGGAGGGAGGGGAGAGATGAGAAGGGTTGGGGGGAGATAGATATAAGGAATGGGGACCTATCCCCATGTAACGTGCTGACCGCTTCACGCAAAGTCACCCACCTCCCCCAATGACGACACTCACTGCCCCCCATACCAACGCCCACCTGAATCCCCATAACACCCACCTCCCCCTATAATAATGCCCACCTACCTCCCCATAACACCCACCTCCCCCCATAACAACACCCACCCACCCCATAACACCCACCTCCCCCTATAACAACACCCACCCACACCATAACACCCACCTCTCCCTGTATAAACACCCACCTACCCCCATATCACCCACCTTCCCCCATAAAAACACTCACCTCACCCACTCATCTCCCCATGTAATGTCACCCACTCCCCATGACGTCTTTGATTCCCAATGTAACATTACTCCCTCCTCTCTGTCATGCCTATCACTCTGTGACCTGTTGCATTGACTGGCTTCAATGCCCACGGGAAGACCCTGATAGCTGTCCCAGCCCCTTTCCCCGTGCTGGGCGTCTGCACTCACACTGTGCCAGTTGATAATCACTCACTGCCTGATGCTTGATGGGGGTGGGCAGACATGGCCCATCGATGAGCTGCCGCAGTTTGTTTCTCTCCTTTCTGGTCCTTAGCCGTTTCTTTTTCTGCCGCGACTGAGTGAAGGAAGCAGAGGCGAGATGCAGTGTCACTGTATGCTCTGGTTGCTGGTTGGCCTGGCTACAGAACAGTGCGCCAAGACAGCCAGATCGGCTTGACTGCCAGCTCCTGCTCACACTTTCCACCTCAGGACAGCCAGAGACAGAGGCCACTGCTATTACTATCACTATTGCCACTACTACAACCCTCCCAATACAGCCCTGTGCAATTTTCAGACTCACAAAGGGAAAAGATTCAGAAGAAAGAAGCTACATGCAACATGGGATTTGAACAAACGACCCAAAGATCATGAAGCAGGGATTCTTTATTCCACTGGCATTTAGTTCATGACAAACCAAAAGGCATTTACGGATAACCAAGCATCTAATTGTGCTGTGTATAGGGACTGACCACTGGACTGAGGAATTCTTGGTCTGATGGCTCTCCTTTTCCAGCTGCCTTCTTTCAAAGAGGGAGTCCATTTGAGTGTTCCAGCTGCCCTGGCTCACTACTGCCACCTGCTGGAGGAGGTCCCATTGCACTCAGAGAGCTTCACTCACCCAAACCCTGCACTGTCAGCTTCTGACCAGGTGCCCAGGAGAGATCAGTGCAACAACAACTCTCCCCAGATAAGCCTGTGCAATTCTCAGGCATGTAAAGTGTTGCAAAGTTGGTATAGTGAATTCTAAGGCAGGATGTTAGAATTTGCTTGTAAAATGACGCGGGGGGGGGGGGGGGGGGGGGTGAAGAGTGCGTGGTCTCTTTAAAACCTGTGTTTTTTTTGGGCTTGGAGATTTTAAAAATGTCTGCAGGTAGCAGCAGATGCACAGAGAGCTCTTGAAATTGAAATATTGTATCAGAAGGCTGTACCGTTAGCAGGCAAAGCAAGCATTTTTACCAAGACAACATTTTGTGAATTTAGCCAATTAATTTAAACCACGCCCTGTATACCAAAGCTCAATTCAATTTAAATCTGATGGTTTTGACCAATCCTATTGTAAGAAATTAATAGGTCATCAAGGATATAAAAGAAGAGGGCATTTGAAAATCAGGGCAAGAGCAAACTGCCATCTGTTAAGAGAATAGCTCTCAACAGCCATCAGCTCTAAAGGAAAAGAAATTAATTGGCTCTAACAGCGATCGCACTGGCACTATCCCGCAACTCTTCCTCCGCTACATCGATGACTGTATCGGTGCTGCCTCGTGCTGCCATGAGGAGCTGGAACAATTCATAAACTTTACTAACACCTTCAAAGAACAAAGAAAATTACAGCACAGGAACAGGGCCTTCGGCCCTCCAAGCCTGCACCGATCCAGATCCTCTATCTAAACCTGTCACCTATTTTCCAAGGATCTGTATCCCTCTGCTCCCTGCCCATTCATGTATCTGTCTAGATACATCTTAAATGATGCAATTGTGCCCGCCTCTACCACCTCCGCTGGCAACGCGTTCCAGGCACCCACCACCCTCTGCATAAAGAACTTTCCACACATATCTCCCTTAAACTTTTCCCCTGTCACCTTGAAATCGTGACCCCTAGTAATTGAGTCCCCTACTCTGGGAAAAAGCTTCTTGCTATCCATCCTGTCTATACCTCTCATGATTTTGTAGACTTCAATCAGGTCCCCCCTCAACCTCCATCTTTCTAATGTAAATAATCCTAATCTATTCAACCTCTCTTCATAGCTAGCGCCCTCCATACCAGGCTACATCCTGGTGAACCTCCTCTGCACCCTCTCCAAAGCATCCACATCCTTTTGGTAACGTGGTGACCAGAACTGTATGCAGTATTCCAAATGTGGTTGAACCAAAGTCCTATACAACTGTAACATGACCTGCCAACTCTTGTAATCAGTACCCCGTCCGATGAATGAAAGCATGCTGTATGCCTTCTTGACCACTCTATCGACCTGCGTTGCCACCTTCAAGGTACAATGGACCTGAACATCCAAATGTCTCTGTGCATCAATTTTCCCCAGGGTTTTTCCATTTACTGTATAGTTCGCTCTTGAATTGGATCTTCCAAAATGCATCACCTCGCATTTGCCTGGATTGAACTCCATCTGCCACTTCTCCGCTCAACTCTCCAATCTATCTATATTCTGCTGCATTCTCCGACAGTCCCCTTCACTATCTGCTACTCCACCAATCTTAGTGTCATCTGTAAACTTACTAATCAGACCATCTATACTTTCCTCCAGATCATTTATGTATGTCACAAACAACAGGGGTCCCAACACGGATCCCTGTGGAACACCACTGGTTACAGTTCTCCATTTTGAGAAACTCCCTTCCACTACAACTCTTTGTCTCCTGTTGCCCAGCCAGTTTTCTATCCATCTAGCTAGTACACCCTGGACCCCATGCGGCTTCACTTTCTCCATCAGCCTACCATGGTGGAACCTTATCAAACGCCTTACTGAAGTCCATGTATATGACATCTACAGCCCTTCCCTCATCTATCAACTTTGTCACTTCCTCAAAGAATTCCATCAAGTTGGTAAGACATGACCTTCCCTGCACAAAACCATGCTGCCTTTCACTAATAAGCCCATTTTCTTCCAAATGTAAATAGATCCTATCCCTCAGTATCTTCTCCAGCAGCTTCCCCACCACTGACGTCAGGCTCACCGGTCTATAATTACCTGGATTATCCTTGCTACCCTTCTTAAACAAGGGGACAACATTAGCAATTCTCCAGTCCTCCGGGACCTCACCCGTGCTCAAGGATGCTGCAAAGATATCTGTTAAGGCCCCAGCTATTTCCTCTCTCGCTTCCCTCAGTAACCTGGGATAGATCCCACCCGGACCTGGGGACTTGTCCACCCTAATGCCTTTTAGAATACCCAACACTTCCCCCCTCCTTATACTGACTTGACCTAGAGTAATCAAACATCTATCCCTAACCTTAACATCCGTCATGGCTGCTAAATAAGAGCCCTAAGTTTTTGGGGCAAGGTACTATCATGGATAGAGGATTGACTGACTGGCAGAAAGCAGAGAGTTGGGGTAAAGGGGTCTTTTCCAGGAAGGTAGCCAGTGAATAGTGGAGTCTGCAGGGGGTCATATTGGGACCACAACTATTCACTTTGTGGTCTGGATCTGGACAAGGCAAATGAGGGCATTGTTGTTAATTTTGCAGATGACACAAAGGTAGGTGGAGAGTTGAGGGAGCAGGAATGCTGCAGGAGGACTTGGACAGGCTAGGACACTGTACAAAGAATTGGCAGATGGAATAGAATGTAGGAAAGTGTGAGGTTATGCATTTTGGCGAGAAGAATAGAAGTTTAGACTATTTTCTAAATAGGGAAAGACTTTGGAAAGCTGAAGCACAATGGGACTTGGGAATCCTCATTCAGGACAGTCTTAAGGTTAACATACAGGTTCGGTTGGCAGTTAGGAAGGCAAATGCAATGTTAGCATTCATTTCAAGAGGGTTAGAATATAGGAGCAGTGACATATAGTCGAGACTGTACAAGGTTCTGATCAGACTGCATTTGGAATGTTGCGAGCAGTTTTGGGTCCCGTATCTCAGGAAAGATGTGCTGCCCTAGGAGGGGGTCCAGAGGAAGTTTACAAGAATGATCCCAGGGATGAAGGACTTCTCATTTGAGGACCAGTTGAGGACTCTGGGTCTGTATTTAATGGAGTTTAGAAGGAGTTGGGGGGGAGGGGCACCTGATTGGAACTGACAGGATACCGATAGGCCTAGATAGAGTGGATGTGAGAAGATAGTTCCATTGGTAGGAGAGACTAGGACCCCGGAGACATCCTTGGAGTGAAGGGACGACCCTTTAGAACTGAGATGAAGAGGAATTTCTTCAGCAGTGGTTAATCAGAGGGCCGCAGAAGCCAAGACATTGAGTGTATTTAAGACTGAGATAGATAGATAGATTGATTAGTAAGGGGATCAAGGGTTACAGGGAGAAGGCAGGAGAATGGGGTTCAGAAACATATCAGCCACGATCGTACAGTAGAGCAGATGTGATGGGCCAAATGGCCTAATCCTGCTACTATATATCTCATGGTGTTCTGTGGTGTTGATATTGTGACTGTGATTCCCATCCAGTGAGACAGGCTCTAAATGACAAACACCGAACATAAAGTACATTCAGGAACTCAATCTCTGTGTCATCACTCACCTTCTCTGTGAGTCTCATTAGATGTGCTGGTGGCCCATCTGACTCCGAACTGTCAGATCCACTGATGCTGCTCAAAAACAAAGCAAGAGAAATCTTCAGAAGCTGCTCTCAGGTGGGTTTATTAAACAATCAGGAGAAAAAATGAACATTCTCTTTGCAAACTGTCCATTTACACCAATCACAGGCTTTAAGTAACTTTCAGACAACAAAACAAAAAAACCAAAACCAGGCCAACAACATGCAACACAACATGGATAAGACCATGTTGTGTTGAGTTTTATTTGGCAGAGTTTTCATTATGAAGCTGAGTTCTACAACTTACTAAACTCACCTCATTAATCACTAATTAATTGTACCCCTTTCAAACTCAGTGTGCAATCATACGTGGCAGCTTGAAATGCAAAATGATTCCTGACACAATGGGTTTACTGTGTCCTGGGATATTCAACAAACATAGTGCAAGGGTTTTATTATCATCAAGTTGATTATAATTAAGTCAATTTGAGAGAAGTCAACCTGTAGATTGTATGAATATCTCTCAAACCTGTATGCTTCCCAGTACGATTCCTCTCCAGGTCAAAGTAACCAATCAAGGCACAGATTTAGCACAGAATGGTCATTTGCTTGAATGTACTGCATAGCTCAGTGGGGTTTAAAAGAGGAAGATGTGACTTGCTTAAAACATATAATCTCCTGAGGGGCCTTGACATGGTGGATGTGGAGAAGGTATGTCCTGTTATGGGAGAATCATGAAGTAGGGATCACTGCTTAAAAATGAAGGGTCACGCATTTAAAACAGATTTGGGGCTTTTTTTGCTCTTTGGGATTTGAGAATCTTTGGAACTCCCTTCCTGAAAACGTGTTGGAGGCAGAGACTTTGAACATTTTAAAGGCAAGTTTGGGTAGATTCTTAAGTTCTGAAGAAGGGTCAGTGGACCTGAAATGTGAACTCAGCTTTCTCTCCACAGATGATGCCAGACCAGCTGTGTTATCCCAGCAATCTGTTTTTTTCTCTTGCTAATGAGAAAGTCATTTTGGGACAGTTCTAAAGATTCAGCTGGTACAATGCCAGTTCAGATGGAGAGGTGTTCTATGGAAAAACACACATGCACGTGTGCACATGCACACACACCTACCTGCATTCACTCCTGAGAACAAAGGTTTGTTACAATAGCAGCCCTCCACATACTACAGACCAACACTGAGACACACATTGGCTTGCTGACAACTCTAATGTAACTGTGAAAGTGTAAATACCTCACTCTTGGGAACCACAAACAGTAGCAATGAATGTATCATTTTGCTGGTCAATCTCAGCACTTGATGCTATTTGATTTGGGTGCTTGTACCTGGACTCGAAGTCAGATGTTGACATGTCACACAGGGACAGGTTGGGATCGTATTCCCGGCCCGACTTCTCCCAGCGTAGACGGAGCTCCCGCTGCAGTGCTGTCCGTACCTCTTCCAGACACTGATCAAACTGAACAGGGATAGGGCAAACAAAGGTCAAAATGTAAACACAATCACATTCACGCGTATATGTGTGTCTGCATTTGTATGGCTGTGCGTGTGACTGTCTCTGTCTCTGTTCCTGTGTCTGTCTGTCTGTGTACCTGTGTGTCTGTAGGTGTCCGCCTGTGTGAATCCGTATTGAATAAAAATGTCATGTGTAGCAGCATGTGCACACCAGCAACATGCATTCCACGCTCATGTCTTGTGTAGTCCCATATCTGCATGTATGTAGGATGCATGTTAAAGGTATTTGCATCTGTCACATACACATGCTTATGAAGGAGGAGTGCAGATTACATGTACTCACACATGGCCAGATGTACCAGCCTGTGTGTATTGACATGTGTGTTGGCCGCAGGTCCCATTCTAAAGCCTAGACTGCATGTTGTATGTTATGTGCAGGTGCAGATAGCTCTATGTGTTCAGTAAAAGTTCCACAGGCTGCCCTTTGTGCCAAACAAGAGGGCTTTGATTTATATTAAAACCGTCCACATTAAAGTAACCACTCAGGACATTGGGGTGGGGGCAATGCCAAGCATGATTCTGCTAACCTTTGAGCGGTCAGGGTCACAGAAGTCCAGCAGAGTGTCACAGAAATGATAGCCCAGTGACTTGAGGTCCTCAGTGCTGAAGTGAGTCCCTCTCCGCGGCCCTGGTGAAACACACACCGGTCTCAGCTTTTGGTGAAGTGATACAGCACAGATTAGTCCAGCCTGTTCCCTCTCCCCCCACACACAGACACAGACACACACACACACACACACACACATCCACATTAATACAGCTGAGGTCCACCTTTAACAGACAGTAGTCACCGTTCCCCTTGTCTGAACCAGCCACCTTTCCATTCCTGCTGCGTCACTCACTGACTCAGGGCTAAACTTTACAAACTGTGCTGTCTCTGCTGTAAGAGACCACTCTCTCTGGTAGCTCTCGGAGATAGAACCTGTCTGTATTGTACATGACTGAGCAGAGGTGCCAACCATGCCTTCACACCATCTGCATGAACACCCATTGCCCGACTTCAGCACCAGTTCCTTTTATTAATAAATCTTTCATTATCTTGAGATTTGACTGGCTAATCACACTGTAACCACTGGAAGCCGGAGATCATCCAAACTGCTGCTTAACTCCAACTGAAAACCTATCATTGACTCCCACTTTGAGCTAAGCCACAGTTTGAGATTAAAGTCACATTCTTCTTTCCAACTCTCTCCCATAGTCTCTCACTCTTTCCCATTTCTGACAATGTCTGCAGTCTGCAGGGCAATGAAACCGGACACAGGTCACGAGGACAGGAGGAGTCCTGAGAGGTTAAAGAACAGCAAAGACAGACTCAATTCACCATAGAAAATGTGCTTGCTGTCTGAGTGTCTGAAGGACATTCAGGATTTGGACAATCGCACCAGGATGTTGGCAAGTGAAAGGAGGAGAACGAGGGGGAGTGTTATGTGGCCATTATTGAGGATTTAGAGTTTCAGGTAACCTCTGTAAACAGGATTGAAAAGCCCGCATGGCTCAATTCTGGCCTGTTATCAAGAGAAACGTTTTGTCAGGATATTGGAGGGAGAGGAGGAAGTTCCACCCACTGTATCCAAATTGGAAGCAACCAACATAGGAAGCAATACTTGAGAGGTCCTTTCTCGACAGTGCCAGGAACAAGGAGCTAAAAGACAATCAGAACCTGAAGGATAGCTAGCTCTCTGTGCTTACCTGAGCCATGTGTGAACTGGCAAAGGGATCAGCCAATTAGGGGTGTCAGCATATGGCTGTAAGGTGGTTTGGGAAAGGGGGAGACTGTTTCCTGGGACATTGGCCCCAGCCCTGGGCTGGGACATTGGCCCCAGCCCTGGGACAAGGGGAACTGGTCATTGTGATCAGGCTCCATGTCAATCAAATGCTGTTACAGGGAAATTACTGGAGTCTGTAATTAACGAGAGAGTGACAGAACAGGTCCACTGTTTTCAGCTGGTCAGAGAGAGTTAGCACAGGTTTATAAAGTGGAGGTCAGACCTGACCAACCTGATACAGAGTTTCTGAAGAGAAGACTGAAATGGTGGACAGTGGAATCTCTCTGGATGTTATTTAAACAAATGTGCAGAAGGCATTTGATGCAGTTCCCCATGGGAAACCACAGTGAAGAAATTGAAGGCAAATTGTAGGTACCAACAACATAGGCAGGACTAGGAAAAAAGACCTGTTTCAGGATTATGAAAAGCTAGGAACAAAATTAAAAAACAGGTCTTCAAGGGTCATAATCTCTGGATTGCTGCCCGAGCCATGTGCAAATTGGCATAGGGAGGCAAAGATCAGGGAAGTAAACACGTGGCTAAACGAGTGGTGTGGGAAAGAGGGTTTCCTTTTCATGGGGCACTGGCATCAGTTCTGGGACAGGAGGGATCTCTACCGCTGGGATGGACTCCACCTGAACATGGCCGGGTCCAGTGTTCTGGCAAAAAGGGTAAATAAGGTGGTCAAAAGGACTTTAAACTAGTAAGCGGGGGGAAAGGAGGAGTGAGCGTACAGGGACTATAACAATAAATGGAAGGCAAAGCAGGAGGTTAGCAGGTGGCAATGAAGCTTCAACTCCATTGAAAATTAGGAAAAAAGTTAAGGGGAAGGAGAACTCAAGAGCTGTTAGTAATGGAGGTGATAGGACTCAGAAAGAAGGTGCAAAAACTGGCATAAGGGCATTTTATCTGAATGCTTGGAGCACACAGAAACAAGGTGGATGAGTTGACGGCGCAAATCATGGTGAATGGGTATGATGTAGTGGCCATTACAGAGACATGGTTGCAGGATGGTCATGTCTGGGAGTTGAATATCCGGGGTATCAAACTGTTCGGAAGGACAGACAGGAAGGTAAGGGAGGTGGTGTCGCTCTGATTTTTAGGGATGATATCAGGGCAGTAGTGAGAGATGATATAGGTTCTACTGAACAAAAGGTTGAATCCATTTGGGTAGAAATTAGGAATAGCAGGGAGAAGAAGTCACTGATAGGTGTGGTCTATAGGCCACCAAATAATGACATCGTGGTGGGGTGGGCAATACAGATAGAAATAGCTAATGCATATATAAAGGTCCAGCAATTATCATGGGCATCATCAGCAATTAATCTACATATCGATTGGTCAAACCAGGTCGGTCATGGCAGCCTTGAGGAGGAGTTCATAGAATGCATCCACGATAATTTCCTTGAACAATATGTAATGGAACCTACGAGGGAGCAAGCTATCCTAGATCTAGTCCTGTGTAATGAGACAGGAATAGTTAATGATCTCACAGTTAGGGATCCTCTCGGAAGGAGCGATCACAGTATAGTCGAATTTAAAATACAGGTGGAGCATGAGAAGGTTAAATCCAGTACCAATGTCCTGTGCTTAAACAAAGGAGACTATGAAGGAATGAGGGAGGAGTTAGCTAAGGTAGAATGGGAGCAAAAACTTTATGTTGGGTCAATTGAGGAACAGTGGAGGACTTTCAAAGCGATTTTTCACCGTGCTCAGCAGAAGTATACTCCAGTGATAAGGAAGAACTGTAGGAAAAGAGATAGTTAGCCATGGATGTCTAAGGAAATAAAGGAAAGTATCAGATAGAAAAAAAAACACACACAAAAAAGCAAAGAGTAGTGGGAAACTAGTAGACTGGGAAATCTTTAAAGGCCAACAGAAAGCCACAAAAAAATGTTATAAAGAAAAGTAAGATAGATTATGAGAGTAAACTAGCTCAGAATATAGAAACAGGCAGCAAAAGTTTCTATAAATATGTAAATCGTAAAAGAGTGGCGAAGGTAAACATTGGTCCTTTGGAGGATGAGAAGGCCAATTTAATAAATGGAAGTGAGGAAATAGCCGAGGCATTAAACAGTGATTTCGTGTCAGTCTTCACAGTGGAAGACACAAATAACATGCCGAAAACTGATGGCAAGAAGGTTATAGCAGGTGAGGACCTAGAAACTATCATTACCACTAAGGAGGCAGTGCTGGGCAAGCTAATGGGTCTAAAGGTAGACAAGTCTCCTGGCCCTGATGAAATGCATCCCAGGGTACTAAAAGAGGTGATGGGGGAAATAGCAAATGCACTAGTAATTATTTACCAAAATTCACTGGATTCTGGAGTGGTTCCCGCAGATTGGAAAACAGCCAATGTGACGCCACTGTTTAAAAAAGGAAGTAGACAAAAAGCAGGTAACTATAGGCCAGTTAGCTTAACTTCGGTAGTGGGGAAAATGCTTGAATCTATCATTAAGGAAGAAATAGCAAGACATCTGGATATAAATTGTCCCATTGGGAACACTCAGCATGGGTTCATGAAGGGTAGGTCATGTTTAACTAATTTGGTGGAATTCTTTGAGGACATTACTTGCATGGTGGACAATGGGGAACCTGTGGATGTGGTGTATCTGGATTTCCAGAAGGCATTTGACAAGGTGCCACACCAAAGGCTACTACATAAGATAAAGTTGCATGGTATTACAGGTAATGTATTGGCATGGATAGAGGATTGGTTGACTAGTAGAAAGCAAAGAGTAGGGGTAAATGGGTATTTTTCTGATTGGCGGTCAGTGGCTAGTGGTGTGCCTCAGGGATCAGTGTTGGGACCGCAATTGTTTACAATTTACATAGATGATTTGGAGCTGGGGACCAAGTGTGGTGTGTCAAAATTTGCGGATGCCACTAAGGTGAGTGGTAGAGCAAAGTGTGCAGAAGACAGTGAAAGTCTGCAGAGGGATATAGATAGTCTAAGTGAATGGGCAAAGGTCTGGAAGATGGAGTACAATGTTGATAAGTGTGAGGTCATCCATTTTGGTAGGAATAACAGCAAAATGGAATATGTTTTAAATGGTAAAAAATTGCAGCACGCTGCTGTGCAGAGAGACTTGGGTGTCCTTGTGCATGAATCGCTAAAAGTAGGATTGCAGGTGCAGCAGGTAATTAAAAAGGCAAATGGAATTTTGTCTGTCATTGCTAGAGGGATGGAGTTTAAAAACAGGAAGGCTATGCTGCAGCTGTATAGGGTCCTGGGGAGGCCACACCTGGAGTACTGTGTCCAGTTTTGGTCTCCTTACTTGAGAAGGGATATACTAGCACTGGAGGGGGTGCAGAGGAGATTCACTCGGTTGATTCCAGAGTTGAGAGGGTTGGATTATGAGGACAGACTGAGTAGGCTGGGATTATACTCATTGGAATTCAGAAGAATGAGGGGAGATCTTATAGAAACACATAAGATTATGAAGGGAATAGATAAGGTGGAGGCAGGGAGGTTGTTTCCGCTAGCAGGTGAAACTAGGACTAGGGGGCATAGCCTCAAAATAGAGGGAAGCAGATGTAGGACTGAGGTCAGGATGAACTTCTTCACCCAAAGGGTTGTGAATCTGTGGAATTCCCTGCCTAGTGAAGCGGTTGAAGCTACCTCGCTGAATGTTTCTAAAGCAAGGCTAGATAAATTTTTGAACAGTAAACGAATTAAGGGTTATGGTGAGCGGGCGGGTAAGTGGAGCTGAGTCTCAAAAAGATCAGCCATGATCTTATTAAATGGTGGGGCAGGCTAGAGGGACCAGATGGCCTACTCCTGCTCCTAGTTCTTATGTTCTTATTGTCAACCTGGTTGGGAAATATGCAAGTGACGGAAAACAGACAGAGTGGAGGATGGACAGGATGGCAGTGACATACCAGCTGGATTTGTGCTGAGGGGGCTCTCAATGATTCATTGCAATTATGAACAACTCTGATGATTTGATAGGAAAGCACATTCAGATTTACTGATGGCACAAACGTGAGTAGCACTGTAAGCAGTGTGAAGAGAAACGTCAAATCACATAAATATTGACAGATTGTGGATGAATTAATCTGAGATAAATGGATTCCAATGTGGCCAGGGAAGCATAATACCTGTGAAAGGGTTAATTATGGAGACTGTATTAGGCTTTGCCCCATCTGAGGATGTGAAACAATGAGAATGGGAAGTTTAGATTGACATTGGTGTGTTATCCCTGGTTCCTGATAGTCAGTAATTGTGACTATGTAACTTGTAACAAGGTCCAATATACAATAAACCACATCTTATTGTTCAGACATTCGAGATCCATGCTGGACCCACTCTTAACTAAACACACCCTTAGAGCCAGCATGAAAGGATGATTGGTGATAACACACAATGCCAACCATTAGCTGGTAACTGGCTGGTTCCAGAGTATGTACAACTGACCCATGTGAGGTTAGGGTGAGCAATGCGGACACTCTACTCACCAAGGGTGGATCCTGCAAAGGTTGTTTCCATTGTGTAACTGTGAGTAATTCCCATCCTCCACATCACAATCCGACCTGTGCCCTCCTTTCCCCTTTGAACTTTGAACTTGCAACTCTGATAAGAGAACTGACATGAACAGGGGCAGTCAGTGACCAGCTCACACACTTATACCTCAAGTGCTACTGACACATTTAAATGGTTTACCAGGAAATTGATAACTATCCCACCACCCCGCTCCATCCTCAGAAAGGTCACTAACCCACTTGAGACAGGCTCAAACCAGGGCACTGCACCTTCAGCTCTGCAGAGGAATGACAGACCCTGGTGTGAGGGAAGGTGCTCAGTCTGTTCAGGACACCCACCCTTTGAAGTTCGAATGGAGGATGTTTCCCCTGGGACAGACAGACCATGTCCAGTGAGGAATGATAGGGTTATAACATTGCCAAGCCCACCCTGACAAACTCCTTGTACACTCCCACCCAGAAATTCTTATACAGGAAAGCATTGGCCTAGTGGTATTATCACTGGACAGTTAATCCAGAGACCCAGATAATGTTCTGGGGACCTGGGTTCAAATCCTGCCATGGTAGATGGCCAAATTTGAATCTAATAAAAATCTGGAATTAGATTTTTGTCTTATGATGACTATTGTCGATTGTCGAAAAAACACATCTGATTCACTAATGCTCTTTAGGGAAGTAAACTGCCATTCTTACCTGGTCTGGCCTACATATGACTCCAGACCCACAATAATGTGGTTGACTCTTAACTGCCCTAATTAGTGATGGTTAATAAGTGCTGGCCCAGCCATTGATGAAAAATAAAGTCTTCCTGAGAACAGCAGGAATGGTCAGACCATTTACAGACACAACCCAGCATCCCCAAAACACCTCCAACCCTACAGCCAGCATCACCTCAAACACCCACTCACCCCAAAGACACTCCAGCACATCCAACTCTCAAACCCCACCCATGGCCTTTTAGACCCATGCACTCATCCGAATATTTGCCCTCATCCGATCCTAGACCTACCCCTCCACCTCACCTCCCACCCTTACCTACACAATAAATTGAATTACAACACTGCAGAAGAAGGTTATTCAGCCCATTTTATCTGCACTGTTTTTTTTGATTTGACAATTCTTTTAAGTCCTCCCTTCTGCCTCTAGCCCCGTGCATGCTTCTGTTCAGATAACTTAAATTCCCTCAAAACCCTTATTGACACTACCTCCCCAAACTCTTAGACAGTACATTCCAGACTCTAACCACTCGAGTGAACCTGCCCCCACCACACTTCTCAGACAGCACATTCCAGACCCAATTCCCACTCTGCATGAAAAAGCTTTCCTCACCTCACATTTGTCACATTTACAACTCACTTTAAATCTGTTCTCTCTTGTTCTTTCTCCTTTTACGAGCAGGAACAGTTTCTCCCAATGTACTGTACCCAGATCCCTTATGATTTTTTGAAGATCTCCATCAGATTGCCTTTTATCCTCTTCCATTCAGATAAGAAGTCACAACCTCTACAATCTATCGTTACAACTGAAGTTTTCAATTTCTGGAACATCTCTTGTAAATCACTTCTGGACTCTCACCAATTTAGTCACATCTTCCCAAATTATGTTTGGAGTGTGCTGCCTGGGAGTGTGGTGGAGGTAGGTTCCACGGGAAGTTTTAAAAGCTAGCTGGATATAAACTTGCAAGTAACAAATTTAGAGGGCTACAGAGAACGAGACTAACTGGATAACTGTTTCGGGACTGGTACAGACATGATGGTGGTCCCGTCACAAACATAAAATTTTATGATTCTACCATTCTGCATACACCAGAGAGAATTTCCTTCTCTTTCACATCTGTAATGTTTAATATAACTGTGGGTTGAAATCCTTATCTTGACCTGTTCCCGAATCACAAATGTAAACAAGTTCCCATTAATCACCAGGAATGCTCCTTCTCAGACTGCTTTTAAAAGAAATGACAATGCCTACAGAAACACCTACAGGGTTAGAGTTTGGATACCCCAAATCTAATCTTATCTCCCTTGGTCCAGGAACTCCCTACCTATGTCCAGGAACTCCCTACCTACGTCCGTGACACCCCCCACGCCCTCCACCTCCTCCAGAACTTCCAATTCCCCGGTCCCCAACACCTCATCTTTACCATGGACGTCCAGTCCCTCTACACCTGCATTCCCCATGCAGATGGCCTTAAGGCCCTCCGCTTCTTCCTGTCCCGCAGGCCCAACCAGTCCCCCTCCACTGACACCCTCATCCGCTTAGCCGAACTCGTCCTCACACTCAACAACTTCTCTTTCAATTTCTCCCACTTCCTACAGACAAAGAGGGTAGCCATGGGTACCCGCATGGGCCCAAGCTACGCCTGCCTCTTTGTAGGTTACGTGGAACAATCCCTCTTCCGTACCTACACCGGCCCTAAACCCCACCTCTTCCTCCGTTACATTGATGACTGTATCGGCGCCGCCTCGTGCTCCCACGAGGAGCTCGAACAGTTCATACACTTCACTAACACCTTCCACCCCAACCTTAAGTTTACCTGGACCATCTCTAACACCTCTCTCCCCTTCCTGGACCTCTCTGTCTCCATATCGGGCAACCACCTAGAAACCGATATTCATTTCAAGCCCACCGACTCCCACAGCTACCTAGAATACTCCTCCTCCCACCCACCTTCCTGCAAAAATGCAATCCCCTATTCCCAATTCCTTCGCCTCCGCCGCATCTGCTCCCAGGATGAGGCATTCCACTCCCGTACATCTCAGTTGTCCTCGTTTTTCAAGGACCGTAACTTCCCCTCCTCGGTGGTCGAGAACGCCCTCAACTGTGTCTCCCACATCTCCCGCACCTCATCCCTCACACCCCGTCCACGCAATAA